CAAAAACCCTAATTTTATCTGGAGATAAATTTTGGTGAAGCTTCCTAATTTTTCGGTATCTTTTGCCAGCGGGTGGAAGTCACACCCATGACAGATTCAATAACACAAGGAAGAACTCCGAAAGACAGCAGTGTCCAAATGTGGAACGAGACAATTTCAACACACTGTTGTTAGGGTTCCCCAGCAGCAGAGGCATCTGAGCTGGGGGAGCCCTGCAAGGGAGCTTTACAGACTTGGTTCTTCTGAAGGTGGTGAGGGCATAGGGACTACACGACACTGAAAGTTTCATTCTACAGAAGTTGCTATTTACTTGCTTTATAAATGGATTTTACAACCAGGGAAGGGATGTAAAGTGGGTCAGTATTACTGACCAGATGGGGAGGGAATTGCATCACTAAAAGCTGTGACCAGTCAAGAGTTCCAGAGAGTAAATCAGCTCAGCTGTGAGTGGTTCTAACCTTCACAGTGCATCAGCATTGCCAAGGGAGATTTTAAAATGACAGATACTACAACCGCCTTCCAAACCAAGTGAAGCTGGGTCTCTGGGGATGAGTCCAGGACTCAGTAATGTTTAAAAGCTCCCCAGGTGATGCCAATGCACAACCAAGATGAAGAACCATGGGGCTGGGGGAAATGAAGTTCTCACTGAGGTCTCAGGATGAGCCTCAGGATGACCAGGAATTGGTTCATCTCTGCTTCTGGGCCAGTCATGTCCCGATGGGGGGGACTTGGCGGGAGACTGTCTGGAATACAGGAAGATGAGGCCTTTTAGCCCTGGAATGGCTGGAGCCTTGACTTTCTAGTTATTACAAAGTGTTCACAAAATTTACAGAGAAAGGAAGTAGAATGGTAAATTCCAGGGGCCAGAGGGAAGAGAAATGGGGCGTTATTCTTTAAGTTTGGGAAGATTAAAAAAGTTCTGGGGATGAATGGTGATGATGCTTACACAACATTGTGAATGTATTTAATGCCACTGGACAGTAGCCTTAAAAGCATTTTAAAGTGGTAAAGTATTTAAAATGTACATTGCTGGGACAAAGTAGCTGATATGCACAACTTAAAGGAGAAAAGGTTTATTGTGGTTCACGGTTTCAGAGGTTCAGTCCACAGTCCGGTCTTGAGATGTAGCTCAGTGAGAAGGCCCTAAGCAGAGAGAGAGAGAGAGAGAGAGACCGAGACAGAGAGACAGAAAATAATCATGATATTACGCGTGTGTATATTATACAAAAGAATATAATATACGGTAGTTTACCCCAGGAATGCAAGTGTGGTTCAACATAAGAAAAATAATCTAGGGGATGGGGATTTAGCTCAGTGGTTCCATCGCCTGCCTCACAAGTGCAAGGTCCTGAGTTCGATCTCTCGTACAAAAAAAAAATTTCAATAAAAATAAATAAACATTCAAAAATGTACATTAATAAAATGAAGAAAAAACCAAAATCACATGATCATTTCAAGTGATCCCTAAAAAAGCATTTGATAGGAGCCAATTCCTTTTCTCAATAAAAACACTTGGAAAACTAGAGAGAGAAGGGGATTTCCTCCACATGACAAAGGGCATTTATGAAAACCCCACAGCTACCATCAAACTCAAGGGTGAAAGACTAAAACTTCCCCTTCAGATGAGGAACAAGAGTGTGGATGGCTGCTTTAACTGCTGCTATTCAACATTGTACTGAAAGTTCAGGTAAGAATAGAAAATAAAAAGAACAACTAATTGGAAAGGAAGAAGTAAAACCATTAGTTTGACACAATCCTATGTATGGAAAATCCCAAATAATCCACACACAAACTATTCCAGAGGTACAAGATTATCATATAAAAATCACTTTTGTTTCTACACACCAACTGGACAATTCTAAAGGGAGATTAAGAAACAATTTCACTTAGGAAAAATTTCAGAGCATTTGAGGACTGGGCATCAGAATGGACTTGTAGTCCTTTGAAGTGGAAACATCTTGTTATTAATGGTCCTTGGCAGAAGCACATGCATCAGCGCCTTTGATTTAGTGCATCTCATATTAAAATTAAGTACAGCAAATAGATTTGATGAGGATGGTAAGGCAGACTACACAGGACAAGTGTGAGAAGCTAAACCGCATCCACCAACTCATCAGAGTGCCCTGGTCTCGGCCATCCTGCCTCCCCTCGTGCCTCAAGAGTCACAGGAAGCTGGAAAGCAAAATCCCAGGCCCTTTGGAGGAAATCAAGTCTGAGTCAGCCTCTCAAGGAGGTGGAAGGAACAGGGAAACTATTTACTGGGGAGGGTGTTTTCACTTCAGAAGTTGGTGGTTTTTTATTTTTTTAAATCAAAGAAGGAACTAAAAGTGTTTTTATTTTTTGGTTGTTTTTGTTGCTATTAACTAGGGGCCAGAAAGATGAAGTGTTTGCCAACTACTGCCACATTCCTTAAATCTCCATGTTCCAGAGACTAAAGCTGGTAGTTGGTTCTATTACAGACACAACTTTTCTTACCCCTTGCTGTTTTTCAGTTCCCCACTCTTGCTAACAGCTAAGTAACATCTGCAGAGATCTGTGGATACAAACACCAGGGAGAGAAAGCTGAGTGCAAGGAGGCAATTTGCTGTGGACAGGGAGCCAGAGGACCTGCGCTCCAGGCTGGCGTCTGCAGGGAGGCCACAGCTGTGTGGCCAGGAGCCCAGCCCTTCCTTCAGGATGCCTTCATTCTAGGCTGTGGAGGGGCGATGAGCAGGGCTGGGCTGGGGAGGGTGGAGATCCTTTCCACTTAATATTCTAGTTTTTCATAAACAAACCCTTTAAGAATTCAAAAGAACTTTAAAAGACAGGGGAAGTGACATTGTTTGAAAATAGATGGAGAGACAAATCTGAAAAGATGAACAGGAGGCTTTTTACTCTGGGCCACTCTCTACTGGGCCAAAGCTGAGTGCATGGCAGAGGATCACATGAACTGCAGTACAAGGGGTAGGGTCATATTAGGGGAGGGGAGGACAAACACCATCCCTGTGTCACCAGGGAAGCCAGATCCCAGCAGATCCCAGAAATCAGCCTCATTATTGGGCCACTTTTGGGGGGGGGTGTTGGGGGGACAAATCAAGCAACTCCCAAAGAATAAATGAATGATTAAATGGGCATTTAAGTGAGATAGGAGGCCTCTAGGTGGCACTTAGATTTTTTCCAGTCTTACTAATTTGGTTTTTTGTTTTTTCTCTTTTTTTTTGAGCTGTCTCACTATGTAGTTCAGGCTGGCCTCGAACTTGTGTCGACCCTCCTGCCTCAACCTCCCCATTGCTGGGATCACAGGCCTGCGCCAACATGCCCTGCCAGACTTACTAATTGGGCAAAGATTTATAAAGTGCCTACTGTGTGTCAGGTGTCACAGGTGGTCAGATAGGGTGTTTGGTTAGAAGACATTCATAAGGAAATAAGGCATGTGCACAAATACCCAAATATCTAAAATACAAAGCAAAATGTAAGACCTGCCCCAAAGGAGATCAAATAAACTGCTGAAATAGTTCTGATTAGGGCTTCTCTCTTAGCACGGAAGCTCAGGAAATGTACTCTACAGGCTGGAGCAAAGATCTGAAAAACCGTCTCTATTCTTTCAACAGTAAGTATTTCCCTACTCCGTTTTACAAACGTGAAAACCATGGCAGAATGACGAGGCATTATTTGCTTCCAGATCATCCAGAGTTGGCCACACAGCCAGAGAACTACAAATTGATTGAAAACTTCCCCTAGAAAGTAACCGAGAAAGCACATAGGTATAAAGCTCCTTCCAGAAGAGTAAGTCCATAGTAACAGCCATTCCCTGTCTTTCTTTTCAAAGTAAGAATAAAGATGCACTAAACAAACTGGAAGGGGAATTTTAAAAATTCATAAGCAAGCTGGAGTCACATGCATATTTGGCCCAAGGGGGCCGAGCTCTGCCTTTTTGTTGAAGTCCTCCTCCTCCATTGTGAGTTACAGGGGACCAAGCGGGGCAGCACAAGAGAGAGCCCACAAAATGAAAACCAAGGCAAGCCCAGGGCTCTTGCAAGCAGAATGGCCACAGGGTTCTCCACACTGAATTTGAACGAGCCAATGGTATCCCAATCACTGAAACAGGAAGCCAGATAAACGGCATGTTATCAAGAGGGGATCCAGCGCTTCCCTTAAGCCACCGCCAGCTGCACCCTGTGACTGTCTTAACAAAGTGCCATTGACACACTAGCTGATTTTCCTGCGTTCGGCTGGGGGGGGGGGGGCTCTGTTGAGAGGACTTTACCCTCGCACACTGCTCCCACCACCCACCACCCAGTCCTCTCCAGTTCCTGCCTCCATCTCTGCCCTCTGAAGATCTAGCAAAGTCTCCACCCTCTGTCCAGTTTTCACAGACCCTGAGGATCAGCAGGAACCACAGGGCCCAGGCACCTTCCCCCTCAGGTGTGCACCCGGCATCCTGCTCACCGAACTCCTCTTTTCTCCTCCCTCCTCTCTCCTGGAAGCTTTCTGGGCTCCCAAACGCCCTGGAAGGGAGCCAGAGAAGGCAGCCTGGGGAGACAGGGCCAGAGGGTGCTTCCCGGCGCATCTTGGGGACCAAGAACATTTTCTGGAGTGGTCCGCAAGGTCACCTGCCCCAGCTGTCCCACTAGCTCCCGCTAAGAAAGGAGCAGAGCTAACTCCTCGCTTCAAAGAAAGCGAGAGAAGATGTGGGTGTGTGTGTGGGTGTGTGTGTGTGTAACGAAGCACTTGGTACCCCTAATTATAGGAACTCAAAGCACCTTAAATTGCAGGTATTTCACAGGATGGGAAACTGAGGCTCACTAGAGGTGGAGCTGGACAGTCCCGGAGAGTCATCTCCCGGATCAGACGCACAGTCTTGTTGGCACGTCTGGGCACACCCCTTGCCCGGAAGCCACTCGCATCTCCGCTGTGACTCCGGCGCTTCTCACGAGCCCAACCCGCAGCCTCCCCAGGGCCGCCAGGCTGTGCTCGCCAAGTGCGAAGCCGCAGACCCCGCGCTCCGCGCCCCCACTCACCGGCGCCTCGGTCCTCCCGGGATCGGGCTCCGCGCCGCAGACGCCGCAGAGCAGAGACGCGCATCGCCCGGGGCCGCGCCGGGGCGGGCGTCCGCTCCTCCCTACCGCTGGAAAGTTTCCTGGAGCTCCTGGGCCCGCTCGGCCCCGCACCGGTCTCAGCGTGCGCAGCGCGCCCCAGCCTCGGGCCTCTCTCTCTGGCCGCCGCCGGCCGCGGCCCCACAATGAGGAGGAGGCGGCATCCTGAACAAAGTGCCGGCCCCCGCGGCCGGCGGGCGGAGCCTCGTGACCCGCTGCCCCAGGCACACGCCGCCCGCCGCGCCTCGGCCGGGGGAGGGGAGAGAGGGGAGCGCGGCAGGGGCGCGGGCGTGAAGCTGGGGCGCCCCCTCCAGGGCCAGTTTAACCCGCAGAGGGGCGGAGGCCCGGGTCCCCGCAGACTGTCACTGGAAAGCTCTCCCCGTAGCCTTCTCTCCCTTTCCTGCCTTTGCCTCCCGCCCCGCCTCCCCGGCCGGCGAGGCAGGACAGCTGCTGGGCGGCGGGACTGGGGCTTCGGCCCACAGGGCAGGAAGCCTTCGCACAATTGAGCTTTTCCTTTGCCCGGGGGACCTGCCACCGCCACTCCACACCGGCTTTCCCTCCCTCTTCCTCCCACGTCGTTCGTTGCCGGTGGTCGGCGGTTCTTTGGGAGATGGGGACAGATGGATCGGTGAGCAACCCTGCCTGCTTCAGACTGCACCACCCTCCGCCTTCCCCTGTAAGCGTCAAGCTCTCTGACGGGGACTCTTGGATGCAGAGGGCAGGGGAGGTCCGGAAGTGCCTAGCAAATAGTAGGTGCTCAGTAAAACAAGTGGCTTTTCCCCACCTTCCTGACCCTTCCACTGCCCCTCCTTCTTCCAGGAAAGTACAAAGAAGGGAAAAGTAGGAAGGGGAAGGAGAGAGGAGGAGAGGAGAGAGGAAATGAGAAGACCTTAGGATAGTGTGTGGGAATAAGGCTCTCAGCCAGAACCTAGTGCGACCTGTCTGGAGTGCTAGGAGTGCATGCGCCTCGGCCCTGCCCCCTCACCTGGGGGCTGCCAGGCTCTGCCGCAAAAGGACGGAAGGAAATTGGGGGCCTATGCTCCTGGAGTAGACGTTGAGCTATGTAGGAAAAATGGAGTAACTGCCCAAGGACCCAGCAGATTGGATAGGACACTTCCCTGCCTGCAGCCAACAAACATGAGGACTGATCTCCTTCCAGGGTGTTAGGGTTGGAGGTTGGGGGGGGGGGGCCCAGGGGGGGTCCAGGGAAAGCAAAACGCTTCCTCCCTGGGAGATCTCCGTGCTCTTTTCCAGCCAGATCAGCTAGCCAGGCGGGAGCAGAGCCAGGATTAAAGCCCCTAAGCCCTGCCTGATCCCCCACAAGTGCTTCAGTACAGTGGCCGTGGACATAAGGGAGAGAGAAGGCAACACTAGACAATGACTTTCAAGACATTCCCAATTTAAAAAAAAAAAAAAAAGATTTTTGTATGATTTTTTTTCCATGAAGAAAATGAGCTGTCGGGTTGTTGTTTGTTTTGTTTTTGTTTTTCTGAGACAGGGTCTCACTGTGTAGTTCAGGCTGGCCTTGAACTCACTATGGAGCCCAACCTGGCCTTGAACTCCTGGCGATCTTCCTGCCTCAGCCCCCCAATTGCTGGGATTACAGGTGTGCACTCTGCTAAGCTGTCTTTTAGTGGGGAGGGGGTCTGCAGAGAGACCCCTGAGGCAAGCCCCTTCCCCGTATGTAATTGCTAAAAGTGGGAGCTCTTAAGGCAGACTGCCTGGGCCTACTGTTTAAAAATCACAGGCACTTGAACAAATTCTTCAACCTCTGTCTGCCTTGGTTTCTTTGTCTGTAAGATGGGATAGTAATATTATAAGGGCCCTGGGAGAATTAAATGAGGTAGTTCAGGTGACACTTAAAATAGTGCCTGGCAAATACTCAATAAATGTTAGCTGCTACTTTGATCTCTGAGAACCCTGTATCCAATTTGGCATTCGATGATGTGCTAACAGGAGTCCTTTCTTGCTTTTCATAGTCCTCTCAGCCTGCATACAGGAGCCTGGTGCTTTAAGAAGAAGCTCTGTCCTTTCTTGAGGGCTCAAAGGATGGTGCTGGCTGTGCTTCTTGGCCACCCTAGGCCCAGGGACAAAGAGCTATACAGTAGGCATGCAGATGGACATCAGAGGCTGAACTGCCCCTGACTTAACTGTGAGGCTAGAGGCCTGGCCACCCGTCCATCCACACTGGTAACGATCCAGGCATAGTGCTGTTCTCTGGGTGCCACCCAGAGTGGAAAAGGCCAATGTCCTGAGGGTGAAGGCTCTTCCTTATGTATGTAGGATGGATATTTCTCTCCCCTGTAAGAGTGGGTGGTCACACAAGGCCTCCCGGCCCTGCTCCAAAGGTCCAATCACAGCCCTCCAACAGTGAACTTGGGCTTGTGATCAACTATAAGAGCAGGCAGATGGGTTGGGGGAGGGAATGAAGGAGGGGGTCAGTCTGGTTGTGGTGACAAAGGACACGAAGGCTGCAGAGATAGGATAAAACCCTGGCAGAGAGGAGAGGCCAGAACTGACTATGGACAGAGACAGAGTGTAGTTTGGATAAGAAACAGGGTCCCTGCCTGCCCGTCCCAGTAGTGGTCTCTGCCAAGTGTCTACCTGGTGAGTGGTTTTTGTCTGAACACAGAGATGACTCAGTTGTTCTGGATCAAGTAAATGGATTTTCCTTAAATATGAAAATCAATAAGAGGTAAAGGCAAGGCCCAGGCTCTGGGGATGGAGGGTGGAGTGAGCCAGAAAGGGACTGGGGAGTGAAACAGTTGGTAAGTGATAGAAGGAGAAAGATTCAGGCTCAATGTAGGGGACCCTTGGTGTGGTACCGAGCCCCACCTCCACTGAGAAGGCGGCTTCCAGCCCCGTGGATCTCCCTGTGGCACCCTAAAACCCGACAGCTCCCCTTCCCCATCCCCCACACCCCAGACCCAGTCCCGCTTCCAGGCAGGAGATTGTTAACAAGAGGATTAATGTCGATGTGACAAATCGGGTTTTAAAAAATCAGCCCAGAAGCCCATAGTCGCCCCTATGGAGACTCAGACCTGACCTCAGATGGGATGAGAGCTTTGGGAGCCCCAAGAAGCAGAAAATACTTTTTTAGCTACAGCCCGGTTTCTTTGGGGACTCTGCCTGTTTTCCTGCCACCTTAAACTCTGTGGACTAATGCTAATTTGTTTCACAGCTTGGGTTTTCTGACGTGGAACTTTGGGGATCTGAACAGAATTAAAGCTCCCACATTCCATGTGACCCTCTCGACCTGTCCCGGCCTTGCAGAGCAGTTTATAAGGCACTCTGCAGGGACTTTCTTTTCTTGAGCATGTTATAAACGTCATTAGCACTCCTGAGGTGGAGTTGGAGGAGCTTCTGACTTTCTCCTGAGAAGCCAGTGGAAAAACACTGGGTCAGGCTGCAGAGAACCTCACTCTGAGCCTTGCTTGTGCCACCTGCTGAAGTGCGTCACCCCAGTTTGCTCTTGGGTTAAAGGGGTGTTGACACCCAGGGGACAGCCATATCCACCTGCCAAGCCTGTGGTGAGTATTTAGTGAGATAATGGAAGAGTAAATGGCTTACATAATGTGACTCAAATCTAAGCAGAAGTGCAGTGAACGCAGCAGAAAGCATCAGCTTGCACCCCGGGAGCCCCGCCCCACCACCCACCCCAGGCCACTTTGTCCTGGTGGTGGGCTCAGTGCATGAAAGCCCATTTCTGAGCAATACAAATTTGTCCACCTATAACCTTTGTCCTTTCTGATTCATTAGCCAGGCAGGGAGCTGCTGGCGCTATGGAGTGGGGCAGGGCCTGTCTGGCGTCTTGGCTGGGGGCGTGTTGAGGCTTTAAGAAGGGCTCCCTGGTTATTGCTCCAGCTTTCAAGGACCCAGGAGAAATAGTCTGTTGGGAGAAGCTGGCACAGTAATGAACGCTTTCCGAGAGCAGCAAGTCACACTGCCTTATCGGGAAGATGCCGTTTCTCCCTAGCTCGGTTACCAGGAAGTGAGATGAGCTGAGAGCCAGGGCAGTGTTTTTCCAAAGATGGCCTTTGAAGAGGAGAGTTTCTTTAAGGGACCAGGAGAGTGGTGATGGTGTTGGCAGGGAGAAGTGGGCCCCTTTAAGAAGCCTGGCTCTGACTGTGCAAGCCTGGGGAAGACCAGGATAGTCCATATTTACATAGTATTTGTCATGCTGCAGCAGCTATTCTAAGCACTTAACCTCTATTAACCTATTTATTCTCACAGCAAGCCTGTGTAATAAGCATCAATTTTTTTCTTTTTGTTAAAATTTTTAAAAATTTTTTTAATTCTAATTTTTTTGACATGGATCTCACTGTGTTGCCCAGGCTGGCCTCAAACTCCTGGGTTCAAGCCATCCTCCTATCTCAGCCTCCTGAGTAGCTGGGACTACAAAATGTGGACCAGTACACCCAGCCATAGATATCATTTTTGTTTCCATTTTATAGATGAAGAAGTTAAGGTCAAGTATTTTTCTGGGTCTAACAGCTAGTAAGTGCTAGAGTCAGAATCTGAACCCAAGCCATCTGCCTCCTGCCTCATTGCTTTCAAGTCTTCCTGTGTATAGGAGGGGACAGTCCATGGTAGTGTGGGGTAGTGGTGAAGGGCTCTTGTCATTTACTAGCTTTAACAAATTTTATTTTTTTCTTTTCAACAGCTTTATTGGGGTATAATTTACATACTATAAAATTTGCTGATTATAATTATACAACCTTATGATTGCAGTAAATCTACAGAGTTTTACAGTTAGTACCACAAGCAAGTTTTGGAGTAGCCCCAAAGTTTTCTCATTCAGTACATGTTTTAATCTGAGTTGCAGTTTCCTCACCTGCAAAATGAGAATAACAGCCCTTGCTATGAGCATAAAATGAACATGGCAGTGGGATTCTTCTTTTCTTCTTCTTCTTCTTCTTCTTCTTCTTCTTCTTCTTCTTCTTATTATTATTATTATTATTATTATTATTAAATTCTCCTACAGACTTTTAGAACTAACAGTGGTTTGAATAACTATCTAATCGCACCCTCTCCCTTAACAGATAAAGAATCTAGGTGTCAAGTTGTCCAGCAATTTGTCAATTAAGGATAGGCAGTGAATTTGGTGGTGGGGTTGA